GTCTTAAAATGTCTTAAATAACGTTTTCCTAATATAAGGCCTTAAAAAGTCTTAAAATGTCTTAAATAACGTTTTCCTAATATAAGGCCTTAAAAAGTCTTAAAATGTCTTAAATTCGGATTCGATGGGTCTTAAATATTTGTGGACACATTACCGCTAAAATATCTTCAGTCTGACGGACCTGATGACTGTTTACAATCATTGGACAGACCAAAGATGTTTTCTTCCCCGCGGTAAGTTACTGCATCATCAGAGAGAATTGCAGTAAGTTAGCAGTATACAGAATAAAAGCTCGCGCTGAGGCTCACTCTGTTTGTCTCGAGACTTCAGAACAAATGAGCGTGACCGCACACATAAACTCAGAAGAAACACACTGAGATAAAAATTCACAATGTTTAGTTTATTCATAACATGAGATAGTTAAGTAACACCATGACAAGTGAGCTATTTTGCTCAATATTCTCACGACGCAAAAAAACATTCAAAACACCTACAGAGTGCATGCATTACGTGAAGTCTAGTGCGCGTGCGCATTTAGAGTGCGCTCTGCCTGATCACTGCATGATTCAGTCTATTAAAATACATTCAGAATTATCACAAATACAGGACATGGGGGCAGAAAATGTGTATATTTATACCACTTCATATAGTTAATCAATTTCACATGGAAGAGTGCCTTTTATTTCTCCAAAAATTACCATACAAATGTGATATTGATTTTTTACAACAGTTCAATAAACTAGAAGTTTTATTAAGAGACTTACGTTTTAGACACCCTATTGCCAAAACATTATTTATGCATTTGTAACTGCAGGTTAAATGCATTCATGTTCTGCATTAAACACATCTAAATGCCATTTCAGGTGCAGCTTATGTCTGGATTGCAAAGATAAATTTAGTTGATACTGATTTATTTGCTTGGTAACAGCCCAAATGTCTTATTCTTATTCACTGATTAAATGTAAGAATTTGATTCAAAAGTTAATGCACACTTACAGAAAAATGGCTTTATAAAGGTAAAATGCTCATAAAAGGTAAAAATCAACTTAAACTTATTGGAAAAGATTAATTTCTATCTGACCACCACACAGAATATCAAAATATCAAAAACTTTAGGAGTCGGCTGTCCACGAAAGTCCTTAAGATACCAGCATGATAAAACACTTAATCAGTTGAATGAATGACTCAATACTCAATCATTAAGTGACTTACCGCCACTTACTGGTAGTTTAGTTGAGAAGTTTGTTGAAAAGTATGCATTTTTTCTTTCAACATTTCTTATTTGTATATTCATAAATGCATTTAAAACATTAATCTCATAACATTATTTATTGCAGTTGTAATTATTGTTATTTGCAGTGTAAATAATTTAATCTGACTGGTAGCAGCCCTATAGTGTATATTGAATTTATTGATAAATTATAATAATTTGACATGAAAGATGATGCATACATCTAAAAAGGTTTAAAAAATAGTATTTTTTAAAGGTAAATATGCAGATTTAAGTATGTAAAAGCTGATAGAACACTGATGAAAATATTGCTTCAGAATAAATTGTTTACTCCACCAAAAATCTCAGCGATGCAGGGATGTTTTGTATAGAATATTGTCTGCTGACATGAAAAGTTCACTATATATCGTAGTAATAAATATAATTTATTACAGCCATGATGTTTTGTTTTCTTTTTAATTTATACACATTTAAATATTACATATGTATGTAATAAAATGTTTATTTCCATTACAGGTTTAGGTCTTAAATTTCATATAAGGTGGTATTAAAAAGGTCTTAAATTTACCTTGTTAATGTCTGCAGAAACCCTGCTACTGTTTACGTTCACTTAAGACGTAATCAGCTGTGTTTACGTGAAACGTTTTATGCGATGTGCAGCTAGGGCTGGACGATATGGCCAAAATCACGATATGTTTCTTAATTTCGGTCAATACGATATAATTCCGATATCGATATGAACACTATTTATCTGAGATAGAAATCTTTTGTAACATTATAAATGCCTTTATCATCACTTTTGATCAATTTTAAGCATCCTTGCTAAATAAAAGTATTAATTTCTTTCCCAAAAGAATAATAAAAATTATACTGAATGGAATAGTGTATAATGTTACAAAAGCTTTTTATTTCAGATAAATGCTGATCTTTGGATCTTTCATCAAAGAATCCTGAAAAAAAATTTACTCAACTATTTTAAATATTGATAATCAGCATATTTGAATGATTTCTGAAGTGATGTGACACTGAAGACTGCAGTAATGATGCTGAAAATGTAGCTATGATCACAGAAATAAATTACATTTTAAAATCTATTCAAATAGAAAGCAATTTTAAATAGTTAAAATATTTTAGCATGTTACTGTTTTTGCTGTACTTTGGGTCAAATAAATGCAGCCTTGGTGAGCAGAAGAGAATTCTTAAAAAAATAAATAAATAAATAAAAAAAAGCCAACATTAAAAATCTTACTGTTCAAAAACTTTTGACTGGTAGTGTAGGCTGATTATTCTTATAGTTTGAAACAAATGTGCTTCAGCCAGAAAAAAAGGGTATGCAAAGTGCTCCAAGTCGCTGCAGAAAACAAAAAAACTGAACAACAGCAAAAACTGAAAATGTTGCTGGAGTCGGGTTTATTGAAAATGCAAACTCATTCTCTGCCAGCAGGAGGCGCTTTTAGAGTGCAGATTTAAGTATGTAAAAGCTGATAGAACACTGAT